ACGACTACTACTACTACTACTACTACTACTACGACTACTACTACTACTACTACTACTACTACTACTACTACTACTACTACTACTACTACTACTACTGCTACTCCTACTACGACTACAACCACGACTGCTACTGCGACTTCGTAGCGCCGTCGGGTGTTCCCTTCATTCCGCTGGCCCGCGCGCGCGGCGTCGCGCCGTTCGGCCCGCGCGCTGCCCGCGGAGCCGCCGAAGCCACGCGGAACTCGGGACCCTTTTCTGGAGGGGGGGAGGGAGGGAGGGAAACCAACACTGGTCCTGAACTGAGAGAGGGGAAAGGTAGAGTGAGAAGACCGAAGGGTACTGGCCCCCTGTCAATGGACCTTGTCGTAGATGCTGTCGTAGGTGTCTACGGTGGCACCGTTGCTACCGACTGCGCGCCCCATCATTTGCGCGGCGGAAACGCGGTTGGCGCGGGGCGGCTCGGTCGGGTCGTAATTCTGGTCGGCCAGTGGAACGTAGGTCTCCAGGCCGTACGAGCAGCAGCTCCCGAAACTTTCGTAGGCGTGCTAATCGTAGCCGCTTCGGCTGGTGTGGCCTTTTTCCGTGGCTCTTGCCATAATCGCGCGAGCTGTTGCCTCCGTAGCTGGCATCGCGTTCTCTGGCTCTTGACTTCCTTTAGCCGTATGAGTATGAGTCGTGGGTTTCGCCAAAATGTAGGAAACGACCCTTGTCTTTGCAAGACGCCTTGCCTTTCGACGGCTGCGAGTACTCTCCGGGGTCGTCTTTCGATGAATAGCATTCTCCTTGTATGTAAATGCCTTTCCCTTTGCATGTCGGTTTCACGGGAACCTGGGAAGTGGGCTTTCGGATGTCGTGGTTCGGGTAAGCATCGTCCTCCTAATTGTCGCGTTCCTCTGCCTCCTCGTGGCTGCTCTCGTTTCTCCTCGTGGCTCTCGTCGAACTCGCTGGCCCCGTCCTCTCTGTCGCTCTCGTCGGAAGCTGCTTGCAAGGACTTGCTTAACTCGGCAGCAGTAGTGGTCCTGCTGCACGTCCTCTGGCAGTTTGTCAACATTGTAAAACAAGTATTGGCCCGCGTGGATGAGACTCGACCGCTGCGCCCCTGGGGCCAATCAAGTAGATCCACGCCTCGATGCTGTCGACCTTGGCTGTGAAACCAGGCACGTCCACTGGTACGAACCCCTCGTCGTCTGCGAAGCCGTCGGGGTCCGTCAGCTTAAACATAAAACGATTGGTGATCTTGACGACGCCCCCCGCCCGCAGCTGGCGCCTGAGGCTGTCGAGGGTTCGCTCGTGGACGAAGACGTGGACCGCCTGGCTCGGCCGCTCCAACAGCCTCTCGCCAGTGGCGGCGTTGTCGTAGTAGGTACTGCCCCTGTCGGGGTCTGACCGCGCGCTGCCAGCCGTCGGGCAAGGGCTCCTGACTCGGCCGCCCCCACTGTGTCTCCCCAGTGGCGGTGATGTTGTAGTAGGTCTTGCCGCTAGCGGGGTCAAGCGCGCCCCGCCAGCCATCTGTTGGTTGCTCTCGTAGCTCTGCTGGTGGCCCTCGGAGCTTTGCTTCTTGCAGTCCTAGCTCTGCTGGTGGCCCTGATAGCTCAGCCGCTTGCCCTCGAGACTCTGCTTGGTGTTCTCGTAGCTTTGCTGGTGGCCTCGTGGCTCAGGTGATTGCTCTCGAAGCCCTGCTTCTTGGCAAGGTGGCTCTGCTGGTGACCGTCAAAGCTCTGCGGGTTGTTCTCGGAACTCCGCTTCCTACCGACGTAGCTGTGCTGGTGGCCTTCCTCGCTCAACTGGCGGCTCTCGTAGCTCCGCT